GTGGTGTGTGACTGGCTTACTTCCTTGGATTATTTAGACTGTTTTACTGAATTATTCCTCACAAATCCTTTTCTTTAGAAAAAAAATATCCTGCAGCTAATGAAGTTTTCCATCTCTGTCTATGCTGAGAAAATGCCTGTTGAGTTTTGGTCTTACAGCTGTTAAAAGCAAATCTTTTCCTTTGTAAAAGACTTATTCTTATTTGCTCGCCCTTTGGGGGGGGGGCAAACCTCACATTTTTAATAGCAACTGGGAATATTTGGTAAAAATATTTAACAAAGGAAATAGAATAGAATCTCAAACTGGGTGCAGTCCTAAGCATAGTGCATTAGTGTCAGATTTATACTGGACTGTCCACACATCATTCTGCTTTATTAGTTGTTCTGTGATGCTTTGCCAATGTCACCATATTGTTGCAGTTGAGAGGGACACTCTTGCACCATAATGCAACAAAGAGAGACAACGAACTCACTCTGGAACACTTGTGGTATGAAACGTTCCAGGGATTCAGAAAGAAGCTATGGTACACATGCACTGACTGGAAACAAAGTAGTATGTCTGCCCCAAAACTTGCAGATGCAAATGGTATTGAAAGCAGGATCCCATATAACCACCTCCATACCATCATGAGCACAAATCATTGTGAATAAAAAGATGTCCAGAGGGACCTTTCTTCTTGTTTAGGATTGGTGCCTGCCTTGTGTCTGCATTGCAGAGAAGGTTGGGATAGGTATTATTATTATCAATACATAATTAGAGGGTTAATGTGGAATACAGAGATGCTTGTTGGGGGATGTTTATATGTGACAGCATACATTTTTTCCTTGGGTGCTCTTATAAATCCTCTGATTATAAAAAGGTAAAGGTAAAGGGTCCAGTCGTGGCCAACTCTGGTGTTGCGGCGCTCATTTCACTTTATTGGCCGAGGGAGCCGCCGTACAGCTTCCGGATCATGTGGCCAGCATAACTAAGCTGCTTCTGGTGAACCAGAGCAGTGCACAAAAATGCCGTTTACCTTCCTGCCTATTCGAGCTGCTAGGTTGGCAGGAGCAGGAGGGACCGAGCAACGGGAGCTCACCCCGTCGCAGGGATTCGAACCGCCAACCTTCCGATCGGCAAGTCCTAGGCTCTGTGATTTAACCCACAGCGCCATCCACGTCCCTCCTCTGATTATAGTCCTCTGATAAATGACTAGGCTGGATCAGGTCAGTCAAGGTATGTTCACATTACTCCACATCAGTGCATTCCCACTGCTAGTTTTTGCAGTAACTTTCACATGACGATCGATATTGATCCCATAGTTCCCTCTGCAAAGGTGTTTTGGCTTGGAGAAGTGGAAGAATCATAGAGTTGGAAGTGACCGTGAGGGCCATCTAGTCGAACCCCCTGCGATGCAGGAATCCCACCCACAGCCATCCCTGGGTGGACTTGAACCACCAGCATTCTGCTTAATAGCCAGATGCGCTGACCTATGGTACCAGTAGGTAATAAGTAGCAGGTGATGTGGTAGAGGGTGCATGCCTCTTGCTCAAAGGGTTCCACGCAACCCAACACAACTGTGGGCTGTATCTGAGGAAACCATTTTGAGCTCCCCACTTTCAAACGTTCGCCCTGTGCCTACTTCAGATCCCAGTTGTAAGCCAAGCAACAATGTGGAAAGCCCAATTTAAGACAGGAATGAAGACAAGGAAGGAGATCAGATTCATGCTTTCCAGACATATGTTTAATGTGCACACGCCCATTCCAGAAATAGTAATGCTTTTGGGAGGGAGGAAATCCCTACTCAACCATCCCTGTGCAGGCACTTCTCAGAGTAAAGGAATCATTGGCAAGATTTGAAGCCTGCCATAGTTACCCCTATGAGTTATTTCCTGTCCCATGTGGGCCGAGCTGGCGGCTCCTGGGATTCTGGGTTTCCTGACCTTCAGAATTTTGCCAAGGTCATGTCTTTTCAGGCTACAGCTTAGGCTGTGTACACATTACCATTTATTCTGGCTCCCACATGCTCCCACCACTGGTGTTTAAAGTTGAGTACCCATGACCTTGGCCACAAGCCATATAGTTATAGTTTCTAGAGGAATGCTCCTAATGGATTGTGGCTTCAATCTGATTTGAACATGCAAGACATGCTTAAGCTGTGTTCAGACACTTGTGCAGATGATGGCTTCCTTGAATAGGAGTGCAGAGGGTGTTGGGGCACATGGAAACAAATAGGGTAATGTACATCGAGTGAAAGACCCTCCCTCTCTGGTGTGTACAGCAAGTGCAAATGCAACTTGAAATGCAGCCAGAGGGAACATCCTCACTGCATTTTAAGCCACTTAATGTATAAACCCTTTATTGGACTGTGTACACACACACACACACACACACACACACACTTCTTCTTTTTTTTATACTCTGCATCCATTATGCTCCAGCTGCTAGTCTGGGAAGCAATGTACACACAGTGTTAGCCACAATCCTGCATCTATACTATCCTGCATCTATCCTGTCACTCCTTATGAAATACTGCATATTTATATTCAAAACAAAAAAAATTCCTTCCAGTAGCACCTTAAAGACCAACTAAGTTAGTTCTTGGTATGAGCTTTCGTGTGCATGCACACTTCTTCAGATACACGTATCTGAAGAAGTGTATCTGAAGAAGTGTGCATGCACACGAAAGCTCATACCAAGAACTAACTTAGTTGGTCTTTAAGGTGCTACTGGAAGGAATTTTTTTTGTTTTGACTATGGCAGACCAACACGGCTACCCATCTGCAACTGCATATTTATATGTTCTTCCTCAAACCAGCATCAATCCGAATTGAGAGAAAGAACTACCTAGCTGTGTTTTAAGCTGGTCCTGCGTCCACAGCCTTGATTTAAGGATAATTGCTTGAGGGTTATTGAGGACTGTTTTAGCGTAGTACTGTCTTCCACTGGATGCTTAATGTAAATAATCTTTTCTTCTTGGTGACCAATCTAGATTTGCTGCTAGGGGTTGCACTCATACTTACATAGTCGTTGTTACTGACTCTCTGCAAGGCTGAAGAGCAGAGATGTCGCTTAGTAAGTATTGGCTGTTAACAACCCTTGAACCCAAGTGTGCCTTTCACATCCCTTGCCAAACACCTGCCAAGCTCTGCAGCTCAGTTAAGTCACTCTGTTGGTACCTGCTGAATAATACCCCTTGCACACAGCCACCCCTGGGCACCAGTCCAGGAGGCTAGCTGCACCAGGGAGAGGACCAAGGAGGGGATCATTAGTGCCTCAATGCCCAGATTCCAAACAAGAAGTTCCCAAGTCTCCTTTTCCTTTTAAGGAAACATCTGAGTGGGGCTGCGGAACAGTAATTGCCAGCAAGCAGCAGCAATGCTCATTTTAGTATGTTTAGGAGGAACTTGAAGCGCTTTAGTTTGTCAAAACATTTGTGATTAATCGGCGCAAGCAACAGGCTGGTTCTTTTTAAAGAAAGGCCAGGGTCAGAGCATAATAAGTTTGTGCCAATCGCTGCAAGGCATGGTGACTAGGGAGACATTTTGTCCACTCATGGGATGGTATAAGAGGGTAGGTCAGAGGTAGGGCTGCAAGTGAATTGCATAGCCTCCAGCGTTTCTCCGATGAAAATAGGGCCGTCCTTTTCAGCGACGACAACAACAGTTGTATTAATTTATACCCCACCCATCTGACTGGGTTGCCCCAGCCACTCTGGGTGGGTTCCAACTTATATAAAAACATAATAAATTACTGTTTAATCTACTGTCAAAGCTACCAATATAATAATTATAATATAATATAATATAATATAATATAATATAATATAATATAATATAATATAATATAATATAATATAATATAATATTATTTATACTCTGCCCATCTGGCTGGGCCTCCCCAGCCACTCTGGGCGGCTTCCAAAAGAATATTAAAATACATCAAACATTAAAAGCTTCCCTAAACAGGGCTGCCTTCAGATGTCTTCTAAAAGCCTGGTAGTTGTTCTCTTTGACATCTGGTGGGAGGCGCCACTACCGAGAAGGCCCTCTGCCTGGTTCCCTGTAGCTTTGCTTCTCGCGATGAGGGAACCACCAGAAGGCCCTCGGTGCTGGACCTCATTGTCCTTGCCTCTTGTCCCTCTCTGCTTTTTCACTTAGGTTAATTCCTTTCAAAAAAAATAATATGCCAATTTCCTTTATTGTTTTTAAATTTTAAAATATTTGCAAAGGCTAGCAAGAGAAAGGGCTGTTGTTGCATTTCTAGGTGGCATAGGGCTATAGGCTGCCTTTCTGACCCAGCAGCAAACCATGTCTGAGGGTTTGGTCCACTTGTTTGCATTCCAGTCCTGGAAGGGCAGCTCTAGATACTGGACTCAAATGAGTCTCGTAATCTCTTAACTAAATACAGAGATCCTTGCTTTCTCAAAAGGGAGTCTGTTTATGGCCATAATGTAAATACTGTCTTAAGGCAAATTTGTTTTAACTATGTCCTGGGTTGTTGTTTTTCCAGATTTCTTAGACCAAAGTCATATAAGAGATAGCCTTTTCTATGGATGTCCTTTAGCTAGAGGGCGTGTTGAAGCTGGATATGCAGATTCTAGAAAGTTTGGGTCCTGGCCATGCCAGAAATGAAATCCGTGTAAGCCAAAGAGATTCAGATGTAGGATTTTGGCTCATAAGGGACAGCAAGACCTGATGTTTATAGAAATGCTCATCGAGACCCAAAGGGCAAGTTCATTATGTGGAGGGTTTGGCATGAGCTGATCATGGATCCACGTCAGAGTCAAATGAGTGTTAGTAAGACATTCCTGTCTTAAAAGGCATCTAGGTTATTATTCTTCTCAATTCTAATTAAAGCTGATTTGGGGAGGAAATGGATAGGCTCTCCTTAACCACTGTCATTTTCTCCTATTAAATATGACAAAGATAGCCTCTGGGAGCAAACTGCATTTTTGCTGCATCATCAGCATGCTATTGTCTCAACAAACTTTTCTTTCTGCATTTCTCCCCCTGCTCTAGGAAGAGAAAGCAGCAGAGAGGAAGAAAGATGTGAAGATTGTTGAAGAAAAACGAAAGGAAACCCATGGTAGAGATCTGAAAAGAAACAAATCTTCTGATCTCGGAAAAGAAGGGAAAAAAGAAGAAAATGTCCAGAAAGCTAATCAGAAAGGGAAGGATGAACTGGACACTACTAAGAACACTGGGCCAGTCAATGAAGAGAAGAAGGAGGCAAAGAAGTTACCCAAAGACAAATACAAAGCCATCTCAGTGGACAACAATGAAATTAAAGGAAGGTGGGAAGAAAAGGGCCTGGCAGCCAAGATCAAAGCAGTTGAGGAAAAAAGGAAAGAAGAAAAGACAACAGAGCTGAAGAGGGGGACTGAAAAGGACAAAAAGACGGGGGAGAAAAAGGAACCAGAAAAAACTGGAGAAAAAGGTTCCGCTTTAAAGTCAGGCTTAGACAGAAAGGCAGAAGACAAAAAGGAATCTGAAAAAACAGGAGAAAAGGGTTCCGCTTTAAAGTCAGGCTTAGACAGAAAGGCAGAAGACAAAAAGGAATCTGAAAAAACAGGAGAAAAGGGTTCCGCTTTAAAGTCAGGCTTAGACAGAAAGGGAGACGATAAAAAGGAATCTCAAAAAACAGGAGAAAAAGGTTCCGCTTTAAAGTCAGGCTTAGACAGGCGGAGAGAAGACAAAAAGGAATCGGAGAGAAATGGAGAGAAAAGTTCAGCTGTAAAGCAAGGATCAAAGGTTGGCAGTGAGGCAAAATCCCCAACAGATAGCAAAGGAACCTCCGAGGGGAAAACCTCAATGTCAGGGCAAGAGAAAGAAGGGACAACAGAGGCTCCTGAGAGCAGCCCCTCTCAACTGGCAGACGGCTCTTCCAGCCAGGGCACGGAAGAGGAAGCCACCAGCATCTTTGATGAGCCCTTGGAGAAAGTGAAGAATAACGACCCAGAGATGATAGAGATCAATGTCAACAACTCCGACTGCATCAACAACGAGATCCTGGTGCGCTTTGCCGAGGCCTTGGAATTCAACACCGTCGCCAAGGTCTTTGCCCTGGCCAACACACGCGCAGATGACCATGTTGCTTTTGCCATTGCCATCATGCTGAAGGCCAACAAGACGCTGACCAGCATCAACCTGGATTCCAATCACATCACGGGCAAAGGGATCCTGGCCATCTTCCGTGCTCTGCTGCAGAACAACACTCTGACCGAGCTCCGCTTTCACAACCAGAGGCATATCTGCGGAGGGAAGACGGAGATGGAGATAGCCACCCTGCTGAAGGAGAACACCACCCTTCTGAAGCTGGGCTACCACTTTGAGCTGGCAGGACCCCGGATGACCGTGACCAACCTGCTGAGCCGCAACATGGACAAGCAGCGGCAGAAGCGCCTGCAGGAGCAGAAGCAGGCTCAGGGAAAAGGGGAGAAGAAGGACTTGCTGGAGGTGCCAAAGGCAGGAGGCCTGCCAGCTGCTTCTTCACCTAAGGCCTCACCAAAGCCATCCCACAAAACGTCCCCTAAAGTTTCCCCTAAGAAAGCTGGAGCCCCAGAAGCACCACCTCCACCTCCTCTGGCTCCTCCTCTGGCTCCTCCTCTGGCTCCTCTCCTGGCTCCTCCCCTGATCAATGAAAACTTACGGTTGTCACTCTCTCCGGCATCTCAGAGGAAGATGGTAGAAAAAGCTCTCCCTCCGCAAGAGAAGAACTCCAGAGACCAGCTTCTGGCAGCCATTCGTTCCACCAATGTCAAACAGCTGAAGAAGGCAAGCAAAGGGCAAATGTGGGAAGCATCCTGGGGTGAAGTCCTTGCTGGGTTCATGGAAGCTACACTCTTAATAATGCTATCTAGGATTAGTGCTACATACACACACTCCCCCTAGCCCACCCCAATCTCCTGTGTCTGATAAAAGGCATGTTTTCCATCACTTGCATTCTAAAAAAGTACAGAGTGTTGCTGAGAACTGCTGAGAACTGCCCAAGGAGTACTCATTGCTGTTAAATAGCATGTGCATTTATTTATTAATAGTATTTGTAGGCCACAAAGCAGCTCACAACTTATTATATTATTCTGGAAGCTGCCCAGAGTGGCTGGCAAAACCTAGCCAGATGGGCGGGGTATCAATAATAATTATTATTAAAGATAAAGCCATTAAAAACTCAATAACAATTGAACAAGTCAGAGTTAACAGTGTTGTGCTATGTAAAAATGCTTCTCACAGAGATGAATAAACACCTTAAAGCTAAGACAGCTTAAAAGGCCTGGGAAAATTAAAAGGTACCAAAATGGCAACAAAATAAAAGGAAATGAGCCTCTCTGGGGTCCTTGCAAGGATGATAGCTGGATTATCAGGTTCACACTGGGAGCTGATTTCATTGAATAATTTAAAGGAAGGAAGAGGGAAAGAGGTGAGAACTGGAAACAAACATGATCCCCTTTTGATACATGAAACGTTTCTTGCATTGATGTAAAATCCACAAAATATGTACACACATATGACAGTTTTGTGACATCTATGCATCTGCTCAGCTTTCCAGTATGTGAACTCGGGGCTAAATACTTTCATACTTCACCATTGATGCACTACACACTTCCTACATTGCTTCCTAGTTCAGACGACACGCCAAACCATGCTAAAGGAAGCTTAATTATACCTTGCCATGTTTGAACACCATTGTTTGCAATTGACAAAAGAAACAGAATGATAAATTGCTGAATTGACAAACTAGACTTTGTGCAAACAAGGGTTGAATTGACAAGCTATAGTTACCGTGGTAGTTCTGTCTTCAGAGACTGCTGTGCAGTTGAGATAAGAGTGACATTGTGGATCATAGGTGCTTAGAGAATGGAAAATGAAAGCAGACAAATACTTCTTAACCATGGTTTGCTGTACATTTGGAAGCTCAGACCATGGTTTGGGATGTTCAAATCAGATCTGGTATGATGCCTGAACTGAGTCATTGTACAAAATATATAAACTAAAATATGAGGAACCACATGTATCTACTTTGCCAGTCTTATACATGTTGTGATGCTCATTCACCAATAGGCTTCTTAAAACATTTCCAGGACATATTTAATTTTTAAAACCCTAACTGATCATGAACCTGGGTTCCCAAATGACCACCTGCACTCACATGGACTTCCTGGTTATTAAGATAATCCCTGAAAATAAGAGGTGCCCCCCCACGGTGCCCCACCAAACAGGGATCCGAACTATCAGGTGGTGGCTCCCTTTGTTTTGAATGCTTTCCTGGTGAATATTACCTTGAACCAAGTTTCATGTTCTTTGTATGGGAAAATCAATTATTTACCTAGGCCTTGTGGAGGTTTTATTATAACATTCTAAAACAGTTTAAGAATGTTTTAGACCATCATGCCCTGTTCCTGTTAACACTATGTTTTTCTGCTATGATGCTATATATACTTTCAAAAAATACTGCATTGGTTTAGTTATGCTCTGGGAGTTTTAACTGAAGAGCAGCTTATAATACCTCTGACCACTAACCAACCAAATCAATATTATTATTATTATTATTATTATTATTATTATTATTATTATTATTAAATTTATTATTTCTACCCTGCCCATCTGCCTGGGTTTCCCCAGCCACTCTGGGTGGCTTCCAACAGAAGGTTAAAAATACATTAAAACATCAATCATTAAAAACTTTCCTAAACAGGACTGCATTCAGATGTCATATAGTTATTGATTTCTTTGACATCTTATGGGAGGGCATTCCACAGGGCAGGTACCACTACCGAGAAGGCCCTCTGCCTGGTTCCCTGTAACCTGGCTTCTCACAGTGAGGGAACCGCCAGAAGTCCCTCAGCGCTGGACCTCAGTGTCCAGGCTGAACGATGGGGGTGGAGATGCTCCTTCACATATACTGGACCGAGGCTGTTTAGGGCTTTAAAGGTGAGCACCAACACTTTCAGTTGTGCTCAGAAACATACTGGGAGCATATCCATGGCATAGACCTCAGAGACTGTGTTCTTAAATATATGTTGTAAATGCTTGTAGATCCATGCAGGAAAAAACACAGACAGAAAAATAAAATGAATGGCCCTTCATATGTGAAGCAAGATTCACATAGATGCAATTAACAGGCACATTTTTGTAATGGAAACAGCAGATGTGGTGCGCATGGGGAGCAGTACTAGGATTGCAGGTCTGGATGAAAATTGCTCCCCCATCCTGCAAGCTGCTATTTGCATCACCGATAGCTTCCTTTGGTTTTAGATCTTGCATTAACAAGCACACCTTTTATCTTGGCAGGTGGAGGTTCCCAAGATACTGCAATAGGGAGCAGAATCCAGATTTCCCTGGAAGGATGAGATTACCAAGGCTGAATCACTATGTTTGTCTCTCAGGTGACTGTTTACATGAGAAGGACTCAGCAGGAGCAGGAAGCTGCCTTGCTCCAGTCCCAAATGAGCAGTGTTCTCTACGGGGTTGAACTGAATTGGATAAAAGGATTGAATGAGCTGCCAAGGAGACGTTGTGTCAGGAAGAAGCAATATTTATTTTTAGAGCTTTTCAACCACGAAACTTTTTTTTCCCCGTGAGAGGAATGGTCTGCAGACGCTCAGAGTGTTATGTAGCTGGGTTAATTGTCCAATCCCCCCCCCCTTTTCGGAGTTTTGAAAGAAAAGTGGGAAGTATTGAAGAAGCCTATATTTGCAGCATCCCTGCTTATCTTAAGACAGCATGGCAATCACTTGCCACTAGAAATATATACAAGAGTTAAGCCACACTGGAGTAGCAGCACAGAAGAAGAAAACTGCCAGGCTCATCTTCAGCACAAAATGACTCCAAAATTGTGTGTGTTTGCGCATGCACACACACAAAGCAGCAGCATGTTCTTGCCATTTGCTGCTAAATCTAACTGGTAGCACCAATGTCACTCTACCTGGAATATTATGAAGCAGAAGGTTGGAGGAGAAATCACTGGGCCAAATCTAATTTCCTAATGTCTCTGTGATCTCAAGGATTCCATTTCTCTGATAGATGATCATGCAAAGGCTGGGTTTGTTCCCTGAAGAAGCATGAAAAGCATTGCATGTTTCTGTGTTTTGAATGTGTGTGTATGTAAATGGCTTCTCACCGTACTGCAATCAAACCTTTAAGCACACGCGTGGGCAATGGCTCTGAAAGGATTACGGATTGTGCTGCCATGATGGGGGGAGGGGGGGAGCTACATGGTGCTTGAACCTCTGACATAAGCAGCATCTTCCAAACTACTATTGTGATGCCTAATCTTAAGAGGCCTGATGGGAGGGAAGGAGCACATTATGGTTGGCCATGTAATGGAGGTGATGGCAAACGCAAGCAGTGGCTGTTATGTGTATGACAGAAGGGGGGCCTTGAAAGCTTGCATTGGGAAACCTTCATTCAGAATCTCCAGTGCTCAGGGCACACAAGTTCTCATTCATATATTTCTCGCACTTGGGCAGCAGCTGTGTCATGACAGTCAAGATCAGGCTTCCTCAACCTCGGCCCTCCAGATGTTTTTGGCCTACAACTCCCATGATCCCTAGCTAGCAGGACCAGTTGTCAGGGATGATGGGAATTGTACTCTCAAAACATCTGGAGGGCCGAGGTTGAGGAAGCCTGGTCAAGATGACAGTAACCTAGCAGAGAGTACAGAACTCCTGCTTCACTCGTTTGCTACAGAAACAGCATAAGGCTTGTTTTTGGGACCAGAAGGTTTCTGTGCCAATTCAGAACTTTTCAAAATAGTTCAACATCTGCTCATTTGAAGTGAAAGAGGCACTCCGAAGGGAGTAGCATTTGTGGCCTGTTGACCAGTGTCTCCTGAACTATGGTCAACAAGCCATAGCATGTGGGCTGTGAAGATACTATGTCCTCCAACCAACCTGTGTGTCAGATTCAGCTTCCGTGTCTTGTCTCTTCTCTTTGCAGGCAAGCAAAGTCCAGCTCATACATTACCTTTGCAGCATGGTAGCTGCCCAATGCTCTCCTGCGGTTGCCTTCCCATTATGCACTGGTAACATGTGGATGTTCTGCATTTCCACAGATAGCCTGGAATGCAGGAGTATTTCCCATGCCAGCAACAGCAGTTCCAGTGGAGGGGCACTGCCCATGTATGTAATTCAGACTCCCTGTGTAGTGTGCAGGAACATCCATATGCTGCTGATGTTCATTTGGGTCAACCACATGGAAGCACTTTTGAAGTAGCAAGTGTGCCACAAAGAGAATGTATGGAGGGGGCCTGCAAGAAGAAGAGTAACCAATGGCATCATCTTTCTTCCTTACTCCTGCATGGAGTGAGTGATGGATAATAGCGGTATACCAGTTCAGCTACAAGGATGTTGCCCAGTTCAGTTCCTTGCAGCTTAACTAGTTTGCTGCTCAGCCTGTACATAAAGAAAGAAAGATTATATCTATGCATTTGTATGGCTGTAAGAGTTTAATATATAGACAGATGGATATATATCTTAATAGATTTCCTCTCTAAGGAGCAGGGTTTTATTTCTCACACAAACTGCCAAAGCTTGTCTGCACTGAGATGGTGCCAAGTGATGCAGGTGCAAGTGACTGGGAAGTGATTTGCTTACTGGTCTGTTTAAATCAGTTTCCAGATCAGGAAACTCATTCATGGTTCCTCTGCGGTAGGAGAGAAACCAGCAAGATTTCTCACCCAGGAACAGGTAGTATAGAACACTCTCCCCCGCAAGCTGCACATGTGTTCATCCTTCCATGAAGGACAAGTGGAACTCCTGTTAACGTGTCTATGGAGATCCTCGCAACACAAAAAGGCTTTCCCTGCCTCTTCTGTTATCCAGCTGAGCATGCAAACTCTGCAGTTAGAGGGGTCCTAAGAAGTGAGGGTAAAATACAGGAGGGGGTTTATGTAGCACTTGAAAGAGAACTGTTCTTTGTGGGTTTTAGGTTTTTTTTAATCAGTCTTTGGAGAGGGAATCTGTGCTTGCTTACTGAAAAAGAAAGCAGTATTGGATTTAGATCTGTAGCACATTTTGGACAAATGTTGGAGAAGGAGAGAGAAATAACAAGAGACAAATCACTTGAGCAGGTGATCTCGGGTGCAGAAGCTGCTGCAGTTTTCAGTTCCAACTCATGAGTGTAAATCTTATTTGAAATATGTACAAAATCACCCACACTTTCATTAATAAAGCTCACAAAATGCTGCTAATGGCAAGTAGTGGAAAATTCTGAGGCTGTGGGCAGTGAATACCTTTAGACTTATGCAAGTACGTGCAGATTTGGGCAGCTTTGTAGGTGTGTCAGCTGGCATCTGGCATCAGAATCATGTTTCAAATACCCCATGAACTCATTTATTACTGTTACCCACTTGACATGTGGGCAACTGAGGTTAAGAAGCAATGGTTTTCTTGCAATTGTAGTTGGTCTGATCACAGAGTCCAGAATTTTTGTTTCGGGTCCAGCTCAAAATAGGTGATGAAATAAGTGGATAATTGGTTCCTTTTCTCTGTTCTTTTTAAAAACTAACCAGAGCATGTCAGGAACTTGCAGAAATCCACAGCTGGGATAGGACATTTCTCTTTGTGTACAAACACAAGAAGCCCACCGTGCAGCCTGAGTGTGTTGGGCGCTGGGCCAGAGAGGAGCTTCTCCCTCCTGTTGCTGCCAATTCAGAGGGTTGCCTGCCAGCTCTGTGCAGAAGTCAATCACTGCTGACGAGGGTCTGGCTGACTCCAAAGGCAGCTGAACTGCTCCTCAAGAGTCCAGAGAAATGTCTATATTTGGGCATTTTGCATAGACTAGCCCAAGCAAAACTTCATTCCTTTGCTCTTCCTAATAGTGGGAAGCCTTCCAACTGCCCAGAGCGGCCAAGAAGAGGAGAGAAAACAAGGCTTAGTTCACAAGGACCTCTTCCTTGGTTGCCAAGCTACACTCACAGCAGCACTGCGGTCCTCCCTCATCTGGTGCTTTTTCCACCTGTGGTTCTCCTGTCATTGCCACCAGGTTCTTTGCCATCAGCACACAGCTGTCCTCAGTCATAAGAGCACCCGGCAGGCTCTGCTATCCTATCACAGATGCCCCTTGACTTCTGTAAGTCAGTGCCACATTGCAAACAGTCCCACAGGTGGCAGATGAAAATAGAAAAGAAGGGCAAGTGATGTGAAAGCAAAGGAGGAGATTTACTTTCATGCTATTGGGTTGCATGACCCGCCTAAAATGACCGGCTGATGAAGTCACAAAGACTTCATTTCCCACCCACCTAGAAAGCAATTTCCCCCCCTTGCAAATCCTCAGTATGGGTCTGAATTTCATTGTGTCCCACAAATTCTCCCGTTTCTCCCACACTGCTACAGTGATATCCAAGACCAAAATGTTGTCTGTTATTGTCCCAGCCAATGAGGTGAAGTTGGAGAAAATGCCACAATATTAGAAACAGATTCAGTGCACACCACCAGCCATATACTGAGGTTTTTCAATAAACATAAAGTGGAAGACTGAGATCTCGGTGGCATGAGGAATTTGCAAGTAAGCCAGGCTTAAACACTCGTATGGGGTGTTCCTCTTTGCAGACCCAGACTTTATTTTTTCATACAGTTTCATAAATGAAATTGCTTATATTTCTATTATATCAGTGAGTTTACACTGTTTTGCATACAAAACAACCATGAAAAATTGTGGCTAATGTTGAGAAAGGTAGTGAAGGAAAAGAGGGCTGCCTAACTGATTATTTGTGGGGCGGACTTTTCGGTCTGTGCAAGCCAAATAACTTGTGCCATAGCATTTGTGTCTGCAATCTGCACAGAACTTGGGAACTTAATAAATGAAGATGTTTACACTTAAAACAGTTTTACATGAGCATCTATGAGGGAGCCATTCCAGCAGTGACTCAGAGCCAGATAACAATGTCTCGGGGCTATGGGAAACCATAAATGCTAATTGCTTGAGTGGCGCAGTCCCTGAATAGAGCAACTGTAGTCACTTAAAGAGGAATTTCTGTGCTCTTCCCTTCCCTCTAATATTAAAAATGGCATCATCATCATACTTTAAGATACCTTGAGATGAGGACAATTCTCTACCCTTGGTGGTCTCTCTCTGCACTGTAATGCATAAAATGAGGCTGTTTGGGGTCATAGCACCATCACTTCCCCTTGGCCACTCAGAGCTATGGAACTTCTGCTTTCCACTGAAGATAATGAAAAATGGATGGCCTGTCTTTCCTCAGTAAACACACTGGATTTCTCCACCTAATGCTGGAAAGTATACCGGGGGACTTTAGCACCCTTTGTTATTTATGGCACTGATTTATGCTGTACCAGGACTACTAGAGGGATTTCCAAAGGATTCGCCATGTTGGTTTGTTGCAGCAGAAATAACAAAGGTACCTTAAAGACAAAAAAAAAGTTATTACGGCATAAGCTTTCATGAACCGCAGCCCACATCATCAGATGCAGGGCAAGTGGTCCTCAGTTGTTGGGTATATATACACACAGAGACAAAGGTAGAAGTTAAATGGCAATTTAATTTGGAAAAGAGATCCTGTTCTTTGGTTTGATCAGTGACAATCTCTTCTGCCCCCTTTTCTGGGTGGATATCTGCAAGTTCCCTGGGATGCAAAATATAGCTTGGAAGTGGGAAGATTGATCATGAAAACAGTAGGAGGAAAGGAGTTATCATTTCCAACACCACTGTCCCAGTCCACACACATGCACAATTTTTAAATTTTAAAAAGAATGAGGATTATTGGATCATGGATCTCCCAATGTCTCAGGAGCTCAACATGACATAACCATGTCTCATCTCTGATGCCCAATCACTGATTCAAAAAAACAGTGGGCAGAAACCTGCATTCCAGGAAGCCTTCTGTCCTCCCAAGTGAAGCCCCCCCAATGTGCATCCAAAATCTGTTTCATAGAATCATAGAGTTGAAAGGGACCACAAGGGTCATCTAGTCCCAGCGGCGTAGCGTGGGTTATCAGCACCCGGGGCAAGGCAAGTAATTTGCGCCCCCAAACCCGGGGCAAGGCAAGTAATTTGCGCCCCCTAACCCCTAACCATGGTCATTAATACTGACGGCTCTACTCTGGGGCAAACGTCGTGGTGACTACTGCCCTCCGTGGTGTTGTTTTTGCAATTAAAGGACCCCTGCCTCAAATAAAGCATCTTGGGGATTGGGGACTGGGATTTGCCAAGGGAGCTGGAAATTGCAGTTCAGTGGCGGGTCAGGGGGAGAGGGTCCCTTCCGCGTCTGGGTGCCGCGGGCCCCTTTGCGCCAAGATGCGCATCTTTGGGCGTCGCGGCGCAGCCTTCTCAGTCTCCCTCCCCGGCCCGGCTAGTCCCGACGCGGCTTCTTTCTGGCTTGGGGAGGGGGCGGCTCTGGGGCCAGTGCGTCGGCCGGCCTCCGGCGCGGGTGAGGGGGGGCCCCGTCGGGGCGGGTGGGCGGTCTTGGCGCGCAGGCACTAGAGCGCCGCCGATGGTGCGTTTGGCGGGCTGCGCGCGTCCAGACAGCGACCCGAGCCTGGGCGGCGTGGCGCTTGGTGCCGGAGCCTCCGCCCGCAGCGCCCCGTCGGGAGACCCGGCCGGAAGGAGCCTCGAGCCGGCTGTCGGACGCGGTTGAAGCAGCCAGGGCAGCATGGCAGGCGGCGTGCACCCCCTGCACCCCCCACGCTACGCCACTGCTCTCTGCCCCACCGCCAGGCTTCGGAGCAGCCTTCCGAAGGCTGGCGGCGGGAGGAGGTCTCTCCGCCTGGACAGTGGGGTTCCTGCTTCCTCAAGGAGGGCCGGCCAAACGCGCCCCCCCCAAATGTTGCGCCCGGTGCGGCTGGCACCCCTGGCACCCCCCCACGCTACGCCACTGTCTAGTCCAACCCCCTGAAATGCAGAATATTTTGCCCAACATGGGGCTTGAACCCATGACCCTCAGATGAAGAGTCTCGTGTTCTACTAACTGAGCTATCCCAATCCTCCAGACCAAATTTTGAGGGCACACAGAGGGCTGCAGGGAGAGGAAAGGAACATGTGCTTAGCCAGGATTTTTGTTAGGGGGAAAAACCTCAGATTTGTATTACCAATACAACGCCCTTGACTACGCCCATGGAGAGGAAGGTGAAGTTCAATGGGGCTAGCGCACTGTTTAATCAGTTATCACTTCTTTTCTTTTTTCCAGAATTGATTAAAATGTGCAGGGTTACCAGCGCTTTCTGAGTGAATATTGTCTGCCAAATTCCAGACAAATAGGTGCATTTGTTTTTTCTGCTGGACACCTTTTAAGTGGGGGGGGGGTGTTTGTTTTTTGCAGGGGGCAGTAAAAATGGAATCATCTGTAAAGGGGCCTGCTTTTTATTGGGAAGAGGTCAGAAATAAAGAAATATATGGGAATTCTTGTTCAGCTTCATTTCCACATTCCCCTCCTGGTGAAAGGATCAGTAGAAAGATCAGGGTCCTTAGATCCCACTTTCATTAGAGCACCAGTAGTAGTAACCATTATCACAAGTTGTGGAACACAACACTTAGGGGGGAAACACAGGTGGCAGGGGCAGAGCAATGGATTTTAATCAAGGCTGGACACTGTCTTACTCAGTGTTAGTTCATCTTGAATAACTATCATCAACCCCGACACTTTGATTTCACCAATCAGCATGCACTGAAAGGATGGAGAAATACCGGTAGTCTGGGACTTCAGTTTCCGCTTGGGTGATGCAGCCCTGCCCTCAAGTGGTGGGATTCTTGCCTCACATGCTCAAGGAAAGGCACATTGCTATTGGTTGAAGGCTTGTGGTTTGGTTTGGTTTTTTTTTAAAAAATGGTTTGCAGAGGTATTTTGTGTTTAATATTTTGGGATTCAATCCAGGCACAATTAAGGACTTTCAAGTCCCATTAAGCACATGTTTAACTGTGCAAATGATGGGGATTTATTGAACCAAGTGATAGCCCTAATACACGTAATGTACGACGATGGAAATCCTTAACCAGCCTGCTCCTGGCTAGAGCTGATGGGAAGTGAAACCCAAAACAGTGGCGACTGCAGGGCACCAGGTAACCTAAAGCGGAAGGAAATTCATCTCCACGCACCAGACAAGTGGGATTCCCTAGTCAACAAAAGTTTATGTCACAATAGATTGATTAGTCTTTAAGATGGGATTCTGGGCCTTTTGCTACACGTGTGACGTGCAAGAGGAATTACAGCAGGTAGCACCTTTCACATCACTGCCTCTCCGTGAAAAGCACCACCTGTTGAACTTCTGCCCGCCATGTGGGATAATTTCTGCCGGGTGGAAGAGCGGGGATTCCACATGGATCAGATTTAGCCGTGCAGGGGGACAGGGCCGGGGTCCAGCTCCTTTAAAGGCACACGCGCGCAAAAACACGCGCACACCGATTCCCACGCCGCCCATTTCCTTTCTCTGCGCCAAGTGCCTCCGCCAGGGGGCGAGAGACGGGCTGGCCCGGCGCAGCCAGCAGTAGACAAAAGGCTCTTGCGCTCTCGCTCTCTCTCCGCGCCGCCTCCCGCGCGTTTGGCCCGCCGGCGGCGGAGAGCGATGTGTGTGGGGCGTGCGCGCCGCCGGGCGGAGGCCGCGCGATGGCCGGGCGCCGCGGGCTGCTGAAGCGCAAGCCCAAATTCACGCTGCAGGAGATCGACGTACTGATGAGCGAGGTGCTCCGCTACGAGCAGCTGCTCTTCGGCGCCGCCACCGTCAACGCCTACGAGAAGCAGAAGATCTGGTGGCGCATCACCCACAAGATCAACGCGGCCGGGCGCAACCAACGCGACATCGGCGAGGTCAAGAACCGCTGGCGGGGACTGCGGCGCCGCGCCAACGACAAGATCGCCCGGCACCGCCTCCTGCAGCGCCAGGCGCAGGCCGGGGGGCGACCCCGCCTCGCCCACCTCTCCGGTAGCAGCAGCAGCGAGCCCCACAGCTCACCGGAGCTCGGCCCCGAGTGGGCCTCGCCCGGCGTGCGCCCCTCGGATGCGCCGCCGTCGCCTGCCGCTATGGAGGTTGTGGTTCTTCAGGGTGAGTGTTCTCCGCCCACAACCAAAGGTGGGGGAACCCTCAGGCGCAGGGACCCAATGCGGCCTCTCCATTTGGCCCGCGGGATGCCATTCGGCCCGCGGGATGATCCGGTTTAGCACCGCCCCCTCCGTAGGCCACGCCCCTCGCGGACCCTGTCACGACTTCTCATATGGCTTTCTGGAATGTTGTTGTCCTTTGGGGTGACAAACACCTTTTGCTTGCCTGAATGGATGTATGAGTGTGTGATCCGGCCTGTGCACTTAAAAGTGCATGTGGTGCGCTTTTAAAGCACATGGCTTCCCCCCCCAAAAAGAATCCTGGGAACTATAGTTTCCCACCCACAAACCTCACATTCCCAGTACCCTCAGCAGACTAGAGTTCTTAGGATTCTTTGGGGACGTGTGTGTGTGTGTGTGTGTGTGTGTAAACCTCTGGATTTCAGCTCTAGAATGTAGCTTTCCACTCAAACTAGAAATCACAGCCATTGGCCCACCCACCACTGACATGTGGCTCCTTAGAAGGTTGGCCCACAAAGCTTCCCCACCTCTGAACTAACCAGTCACCCTTTTCATCCACCCAGCAGTGGCACCAGAAAAAAACGTTTCTGGGTAGGAGGCACAGAAGGGGCAAAGTATATTTCTAGATGGGCAAGTTGTAACCCACAGGTTAAGATCACTGAAAGAAAATTAACAGCATATATTGATGACAGGAGTCCAGCAATGGGAGCGGGGCTTGTTTGGAGGGTGATTGCCCTGCCCCCTTGCCCCTCTCTGGCGCCATCCATGCAGCAGCCTCATGGAAGTTGAGGCATCGCTCTAGCAGCACTTAGCTCCGTTTGGGCTAGCATACTCACAGCATGCCCGTAAGGCACATGTATCCAATGCACATTTAAAGCACGTGACTTCCCTCAAAGAATGCTAGGAGCTGTAGTTTAAGGGCACTGTGAATTTTAACTCTGGGAGGAGGAAAACTATAATTCCCAGGAATCTTTGGGGGCAGGAACCATGTGTTTTAAATGTATGGTGTGGAATTGCCCCTGGAAGGGTTTAAAACAGGGATGGGGAGATTGCAGGCGTCCACACATTGAATTACAGTTCCCATCATCCCTCACCAATGACATTGCTGGCTGAGGCTGGTAGGAATTGGGCATACAGGCACCTGACCACTGATGTAAAAAGTCACCTGGGGTGTATTTGTTGGACCAGCAAAACAAGATTTTGGTATAGCTAAGAAACACGAGCCTCCACTTAGCGGTGAGAAGTATTTCGATAATAGATTTACAGTTGCTGAAATTAGAGAAGCAAATATATTTTGCCATGTATCCATTTGTCCAATAAAAATCAATCCAAAATCTCTTTAGTAGTTCCATTATTGCACACCCAACATAAATTTGTTATTGCTGCTTGCCGACACTGTGGAGAGGCGTGTGAAATCAAAGCCCTATCAAAGGGCTAAGCTGCACTGGGAATAACACATTTAAATACCTCTGCTTACACAAAGGCTACCAAACTGGAGGCATTTGGGGAAACAGAACCATAATTAACTAGCAAGTTGTTATCACATTTGCCACTAATATGTGTGTATATATACATATATATACTCTTACTGCTGGAGTGTGAACTCTGGAAGCCTCATTGCACTTTATAGTAATGTGATGTTGGGCGAAGGCAATTATTTTCCAAACAGAGGCCACATCCACACCCTGATTTAAAGCGGTACCATGCCGCTATAAGCAGTCACGGCTTCCCCCAGAGAATCCTGGGAAACGTCATTTGTTAAGGGATGTTGAGATTTGTTAAGAGATGCCTATTCCCCTCACAAAATTATAATTCCAATAATACCCTGGGAAGAGGACTTGATTGTTTAGCCACCCTGCCAACTGCAGCACCCTTAACAAACTACACTTCTCAGAATTCTTTGGTGTGTCTAAAGTGGCACCGTAGCACTTTAAATGTATGGTGCAAATATGGCCAGCATTTGCCTTCATAGCCTGCTCTCTCAGCTTTCTGTTCATTTGCACCGCCGCCGCCTCTGCCTTGATGTATTTCCTGTTCTTTTGCCCTCTTGGCCTTCAGGCTAGGTTCATTTTTATCAAAATCACTATTTTTAACAGCATGGATTGGTCTTTGAAGTGCTGACATTGCCATGCATATCACATGACAAGATAGGAAGAAGTTGCACTGATGATACAATGTAGTGGAGAGTGGCATCCTGATAGTGCGGAGAGGTATTTCTTCACAGCAACAAAGGATGAGGGAAGTTAGATACAGCAAGACAAGAGCCTTTTAGACTGAGGGGGAAAGCATTTCTTCCTATGGCTATGTACACATATTTTTGTCAAACTATTTTTACAGGTTGTTGACATAGTGGAAAGCTCGCGTTGTTTTTTTCAGAGGTAAAAATGGCCCAAGGGCATGCATACAATTAGAAATCCCTCTTTCAAGCTGCCTTTGACTGCCTAATAAAAAAACCTAGTATATGGACCAATGGTCTAACTGAGGAGATTTCACCCCTCCCATATCCAAGAATCTGCTGATGTTCTCTGCTGATTCTCCAGAGAGGAGGGGGCGGTTTCTGCTCTCTACTTATTCCGCTCCAGCCTCACATCAAAGAGAGGGAGAGAGACTGAGTGTTAGAGAGAGATCATGTGTATAGATAAGATTGCTGCTAAGAGCAGCTGCAGACACTCAGTGCAGTTCAGCATTTCCGCTTAGACTCCATTTAGCTCTGTACATAGTTGTGTATTATAGTTGTAGATAGAATAAAAGAAGATATTCTACAGAGCTGCTCTCCGAGTCGTCTATGCTCTGCTATACTCTGCTATACTCTGCTGTGCAACGACTGTCTTCTTGTTGAAGTGACTCCGGTGCTCACAACTCTAAGCTGTGAGTCCACAGCACTTTGACCTGTTCCTGTGCAGAAGGTGGTCTGCTACCCAGGTCGCCTAGCCCAGTCGGGGCTGAAGTGGATGAGTCCAGTTGGTGGCACTGGCTCAAGTGCGATGCTGACACTGACGTGGTATAAGGCATCTTCTTATACTCCATCTTGCAGTGCATATTTTTCTTTTCCACTTTCTTGTCTCCCTGTACCAAAACATTTCTGTATGATGCCCTATGATATAGGCTCTTGGGACAACTTGAAGTTGGCTTTTTTTCTCTCTCTCTCTTTTTAACTGCATGTTTGGATGTCAGGAAGGGCCTGAAAGGGCTCGTGGTTCTAGCTGGCTGCTACTTTGAGTTAACCTGATCTGTCCTCTCTGCTCTGGGCAGGTGTGAAGGAGGAGCCAGTGAAGGAAGAACCAGTAGATGTGAAGTCAGAGCCATCCCACTCCCTTCCCACTAAGGCCATCCACCAGCATGGGAGCCAGGGGGCTGAGACGCAGCTGCTCAGGAGCTCTGCCCATGCCCCCAATGATCCGTGTGAGGGCTGGAGGAGAAGCCCCTCAAATTCCTCACAGACTGAGCTCTCAGAGGCCCTGGGTTCGGATTATGCAAGCATCACATTTGACCACAAGTCACCACCACCTGGGCACCTAAGCGACATAGGAGATATGGTTGCTCCTGAGACTGTGCCGATTCAGGAAGGGCTGTCAGAAAGCAACCGCCTGAGCCTAGCAGAGAGGCGGATTGTCCAGTCAAATGAGCAGCTGGCACAGGAGGTGCGTGCCTTCCGGCAGGAATATGCTGAGAGCCACAGGGAGACGGCCTCCATCTTGCACAGCATTGCTGAAGCCCTGAGTGGCGTCTGCAGCAGCCTGTCCGAGATCCGGGACCTCTACCTCCGCCAGCAGGTGGTACCCAAGCAATGAGGGATCCACCGGCAGAAGATGCCAAGCACCTCTGGAAAGGTGCCAGCTACTCCAGAAGTGACTAATATGGGGAAGAATTTATTCTGCAATTTGGAGTTACAGGTTTGTTTGTTTTCAGGACAGGTTTTCCTTTGGATTCTTCTTCCATTCCCAGCTCAATAAAACTGTGAAATTGATATCTCTGCTTAAGAATCAGTTACCAAGCAGGGCATGTCTGTGGTATTGGTGGACCATCTAGCTAAATAGTAGTTTGTGCACTGCGTCACCCTGCTTCTGTCTCCACTGAAAACCCAGAGTCCTTTTTCTAAGGGGTGAACAACCCTGATTTTTCTACCTCCATTTTACTTACTTGGTGTTATTGCTCCAACTGCCCCTCCACACTGCTCTTTTTTCCCCCCTCTGCCTATCACAGTTACCAGCAGAAGGGTCTTGGTTTGCCCTGCTGAAAATCACCAAGAGCTAAAACTTGTTGTGGAGTCCACTTATGGTTGCCCTGGGGGCAAGAACAGTGCCCACTACAGCAGAATTGTTGATTGTTGATCAAGATGGCAATCCTCTAGCATACATACAGTACTTTTGAGCTTATAGCCTCAGGCTGAAGTGGCAGTGGCAGGAATACAGAGATCCAGTTAGATTCCTATGGCTGGGTAAGATGCCATTCAGAGGCAGAAGAAAGATTTCTCATGACAAAATTTGGTCCAAAATTAAAACATCTGTTAAGTGGTTGTACAATCATACCTTGGGTTACAGATGCTTCAGGTTGCGTGTTTTCGGGTTGTGCACCGTGCCGAACCCGGAAGTACCGGAATGGGTTACTTCCAGGTTTGGGCATGTGCGCAGAAGCGCTAAATCATGACCCGCGCATGCACAAACACGGTGCTGCAGGTTGTGAACGCTGTGGGTTGCGAACGTGCCTCCTGCACGGATCACATTCGCAACCCGAGTGTCCACTGTACTTGCAAATGAAGTCAGTTACATGGGGAAAATGTGTGTCCCATTTGGAACGGAATGCTTCAAGGAGAGAGAAAGAGAAAGCTCTGAGGCTCAAGGAGGAAAGCATACCTGTACCTCCATGATGGGGAACATGAGTGCCTTCACCTATTGTTGGACTGTCAACGCCCATCAGCCCAACTGGGGAGAGGGATGAGTTGCAGTCCAGTAACATCCGAAGGTCTACAGGTTTCTCAAACTGTGCTGTAATTAAAACATGGGGCTGCAGTTCAGGGAAACGCTGTAGGGATATTTTTGTACACCAAGAGCACTGTTCCAAATTCAAGCCTGTGTTACCATGGCAGCCAAGCTTTAGTTAGCTATTTTATATCAGCGGGGCTACTTTGGCCTATATCTTCCCCCCAGCTTGCTTGATAATTTACACTTTAGAAGTGGGAGAAGCTTACCTTTGCAGCTGTTTGTAAACATTACTCTGATTGTCAGAGTGGCCTGTGAGTGTACACCTCAGTGCAGAATCACACCAACTCACTTTCCTTCCTTTCTCCAACATACTCGTATTTTCCCCATATCAAGCTCTTAATCCTTCCGAAAGTGAGAAAAGCGCTCTTAAGTGTTGTTATTCTCCCAGAATCACCTTCAGGTTTATGTACCATCCTGTATGCCTCACAGAGAGGAAGAACACACATGTAAAACAGTTGCTTTATCAGTATTTACAAGTTTAATCCACATTTTAGCCAACGTTTTGTGATGCCAACACTTGTCATTCTGACTATAACATGAGCTCCCGGAAAATAGCAGGGCCATGCCCCCCACACAGTGGGAACAAGGCTTGACCTAGGATAGGGGTGGGGAACTTGGGGTCCTCCAGATCATCCTTTCCCAACTTTGGATTCCCAGCTGGTTGGACTACAATTCCCATCATTCCTGACTATTGGCTGATGGGAGTTGTAGTCCAGCAACATTTGGGGACCCAAGGTGGGAGCAGGCTGTTCTAGATGTTGCTAGACTACTGCTTCCATCATCCCTGCCTATTAGCAATGTTAGCTGGTGTTGATGGGAGTCCAGCAGTGGGGGGGGGGGGCCACAGGTTATTTATTTAAGCTATTTCTATACTGTGCCATACTTCAAATAAATATTTGCGAGGTTCTCCACCCTAGAGACAGAGGGAGCAGGCTGTTCTAGATGTTGCTAGACTACTGCTTCCATCATCCCTGCCTATTAGCAATGTTAGCTGGTGTTGATGGGAGTCCAGCAGTGGGGGGGGCACAGGTTATTTATTTAAGCTATTTCTATACTGTGCCATACTTCAAATAAATATTTGCGAGGTTCTCCACCCTAGAGACAGAGGTCTGAGCTCTCTCCTGAGATGTACTCCCAGACAACGTTCTCGGCAGCCCAGCTCCATAAGACAGCAACACACCATGTAAAGTTGTGCTCTGGTCTTGCAGTAAAGATCACATGCATGGTGCATTTTCCCTCTTTACAATGGGCCCATTGGCCTCATCTGTTCCTAAGAGCCATGAGCTCAAGGGGAACTGCTTCACTGCTGTGACATCAACATTTTCCTTTTTGCACACAATGACTGCCTTTGTACCCTGACTGGTATATTGTGCCTTTGTTCCACACTCTTGCCTTGCTCCCTGTGCCATGATTCTACTCCAGAGAATTAAAATGTAAGAGTCAGTTTCCAACACTCTCCGCTCCAAAGGTTGGCATCAATGCATCCGGAGAGGGACATCACCCTGGACCTTGCATCCTCATCTCCACAGACCGAAGGTTCCTATCGTTTGAGAGGAAGGGCTGGTTTAAGCCTGCAGGAGCAGATTGGTGAGCTGCTCAGCCAAGACAAAGAGCCATGCAGCCAGAATACGGGCAAAGCTGCAGGGAGCCCCAATAACCTCCTGGGGGAAATGTGAAATAATAGCTATGCTGCAAAGAACCTCATTTAAAGTAGATGCTCTAACCTCCACCCACCCCTCAAAGGCCACAGACAAAGCTGAAGTGGAAAGGGTTTGGGTAAGGGATGCTGGACAAGTACCCAGCTTAGCTATTTGTAAAAAAAGGAGGGACACTGGGTGAGTAAATTTAATGATGTATAACAGCCACATGTGATATCAGGCTCCTGGGTTATTTGCATATCCTCCCATCCCCCTTTTCCAAAGTTTCAAGACTTCCTTAAGAGACAAAACTTCAACCTGGGGCCATGAACAGCAGGCGTAATGGATCCTTGTGCTTTGTCAGGGAACAGGGTGGACCGAAGTCCTTATGTGAGATACAGACTGTTGCACTTTGCTCTCCGTTGCCACCTTGAGACAGTCACCTCCTCCCTTCCCATCGAAGAGGCTCAGCTGCACAGTCGATGGAACAGTGAAGTGACACGTGTGGCATTTGTGGTGGTCTTAACGCATGCTCTTTCCTGAGCCCAGGTGGAAGGCAAGGAGGGCTAGCAGCTTCCCCACAATGAGACAGGCAGGAATTGCAAGAATTGGGGGTGGTGGGTGCGCAGGCAAAGACGTAGAGAGTCATGATGCCTCCTACCATGCAGAGCAAAAGGTAACTAGTAGGGACACTGGCAATTGCTGAAGCTTGGGCTGGAGTTTCAGTGCAGCGGGAAACCCAATACAGGTTCTGTGGAAACGGCAGACCCAGGGAGAAAGGGCTCCTTTGGATAGTCTCTGCAAGGTCCTCCTCAGGTGCTGGGCTGTGACGGCTGTGGTGGGATGTAGGGTGGGGGAGCTGCAGCAGAAAGAGAGGGGCAATCAGGATGTGGCCAGAGGCACTGGAGGTTAAAGTGAGACTAGCCTCAGAGGGAGGGGTGGGTGTGAAAGTCATCCCTCAGCAGTTGCATGCTGCACAGTGCACAAGGATAAGGGAGGTGTTATCCCCCCACATCTCAGGAACAACCAGAAGAAGCTCTCGGGCCACATTCACACCACAGATTTAAAGCACTATGATACCATTTTAAAGAGGCATGGCTCTCCCTAAAGAATATTGGGAGTTGAAGTGTGCTGAGAGTTATGAGAAGACCCAGATTCTGCCTCCAGAGCTACAATTCCCAGAGCTCTCTGCGAAGAGGAATTTATCGTTAAACCACCCAGGTAGCAGTGATGGCTAGTGCGCCCATTGGGACTGGTAAGACAGAAGGCAGAGAGGCCAACAACACATGGAGCCAGAGCAAAGTACCTTGGAAGTTGAAGGGAATCCATTTCAGAAGTCCGTTTGACTTCCAAAATGTTCGGAAACCAAAGCGTGGCCTCTGATTGGCTGCAGAAAGTTCCTGCAGCCAATCAGAAGTTGTGGAAGCCCCATCGGACATTCAGATTCACTTGCGGGTTTGCGGCGTTTGGGAGCCAAAACTTTCGAGAACTAAGCTGTTCGAAAACCAAGGTACTACTGTAGAGCCAACTAATTTGAGTTTCCCACCTCCCCATACTCCTCCCTGCTGAGTTGGCAATGGCTGAAATGCAGCCTACTCTACAGATGTAGGAGTCAATAGCAACCCTGATACCTGGAAGGAGACAGTGCCACCCCCTGGAATGAATGTAAGTTAAGAAGGCAGGCAGAGGCTGGCCAATGTTGGTAGAAGAGTTCACCATTCGCCCTGTTGGACCATCTTCCACTTCCCGGTAGTAACCTCTGTTCTGGAGATGTTGGTCTAGAACAGGGTGGCTAATCTCAGAAACCTGCAGAAGTTTCTGGACCACAATTCCCGTGATCCCTGAGTATTGTCCATGGTAGCTGGGGGAGATGGGAGTTTATGTCTAACAAAACCTGAAGGTTCCCAACACCAGCCCCCTTCTTTCCCCATTTGGTGGCTGAATGAAATGTAACACTTCAATTCCTAAGGCAGGTTCTCTATACAGAAGGAGAGGATAAGACAAAGCTTTAACTAAGGCCCACGTGTCTTCAAGTCTGATTTCCCCATCCTTTCTTACCTGCAGGGTTGTAGTATGGTGGCCCAGGTGGGTATAGAGGATACTGTGCAGCTGGTGCTGTGGGAGGATAGGAAACAACTGGTGTATAGCCAGGGTGATATGGTGCTGGCCCAGCTTTGGGATCCATAGGGTAAGGCCCTGGAGGCTGGGCAGGGTAGCCAGAAAGTGGGATCTCTTGACCTGGGAGAAAGGAAACAGACTCTGTGAGCATATGCTGGGCTGATGAGTCTACAAGTCAGGCAAGGAAAACCTGTGATGCTCTAGATGTGGTGGGACTGCAGCTCCCTTCA